GTAAAAGTAGGCTGTAGTCAAAGGAAATCATGAGTATTGTTTAAAAAGCACAATGCCTAGAGCATAAAAAGTGATTAATAGATGCTAGCTCTGACTGTTATTTTCCTTTCAAATGATCTAAAATAAAGTTGCAAATGGAAATATGGATTTAATCACAGCTATTTTTTTTTCTTAGAGTATTGATAAACATATTTGCTTGACTGACATGGAAAAAGACAATACCAAATTTATACATAAAAATAACTTTTATAGTAGACTTACTAATATCTTAGTATATGATCTAGCCTATTAGCTGGAGTGACATATATTGTTTTCTACCCCGTTTCTTGCTATTTCTTAGTAATCTCTGGAGAAGATGTGAGAACTCCTATATTATCATGAAGCCTTAAAAATAGAAAAGCAGGCCCGGCCGGTGTGGCTCAGTGGTTGAGCATTGACCCATACGTCAAGAGGTCATCAGTTTGATTCCCAGTCGGAGCACATGCCCAGGTTGTGGGCCATATTCCCAGTGGGGGGCATGCAGGAGGTGGCCAATCAATGTTCTCTCTCATCAGTGTCTCTATTCCTCTCTCCCTCTCCCTTCTTCTCTCTCTAAAATCAATTTAAAAAAAATTTTTTTTAAATAAAAAGGGAAAGCAGGAGACAGAGGTTGCCTCATAAATTTTAGGAAAATGGAAGCTGAAAAGATGGAGTAAATAAAATGAAAGGCAAAATAAGAATTAGAGTTTTTAAAACTTATTATTCAATGACCTACACATAAAAGAAATCTTGGCGATTCAGAATATATATTTGAAAAGACTTCTATATCACTTTGGAGGTCCAAAACTATAACCTGGTATTAGTAATTTACATGTAAATAACTTTGTTTGTTTTAGGGTGTTCCAGAATTGGTATAGAAAATGATATCTTAGGTAATATTACTTTACTGTTTTCTAGCCTAGATGTTTAAAATAGCTACCATGTTCTAGTTGGTATAATAGATGGGGAGAATGTGGTGTGTCAATGAATAACTGATCATCAGACCCAATAGAAATTGGTCGTCATTTACTGAGCATTAATTCTCAAAGAAATCATGAGCATATGTTCTTCCCATTAAGTGAATAATAGCGATAGTGATCTTGATATACTATTATAAGAATTAATGTAGCAGAACATCACAAACTCCTCAAATGACAGGTTTCATGTAAGACCAAAACCGGCAATAATATGTTAAACCTGAAAGCCGTTCTTGAAGATAAAAAGACAAGACTTTCTGTATAAAAATAACACTTTATTATGCTCTTTGATGCTGCAAACAATTTGGGAGGGTAAAATTTTATTTTCTCAGCTGTTCCAGTGACACATCATTCTATGAAAAAAGTTAGATTTAGATATGAAATAGAGGACACCTGGAGACAGATGAATTGGAAAGCTAAATTTGAAATGAATCGTTAAACTAATGCATAAACGTTATGGGTTTAAATGTTTTACCCATGCTTCCTTTGCTAATTGCGTTTGTTTCCTGCTGCTATCCTTATTGTGTGTGTGGAGAACGAGGCCTGTTACCTTTCATGTTTAGAGTTTCTGAAAAACAGTGACCTATATGTAGTTCAATGGTGAAAAGATTTATGAGAATGCTGGATAATGCTGACCTAAACCACTTCTTATGAATCTGTGGAAATAAATATTAAATGACAATCTTGAGCTGAGAATCTAGCTATTCTTTCCTCTTCTCTCCCTCGGCTGTCCTAAAACAGAGCAGTGGTGTGATCACCTATAATATATCTGTAATTAAGGCCTATCTATGCATCATCATCCTCTGCAAGTTCAATGCTTTGTGTTTTCCAATTTTGAGGTTACATGAAGGAGAACAGAAATCTCATGGTGCCATTAATAGATATTTGCACAACCTAGGACATCACTCAATTTTGTGCAGTCTCAAAGTAGAGCTAAATCCTGGAACGCTAAACAATCAGGAAACTGAATGTTTAGGGTAATTTAACTCACTGCCTAACTTTAAACTAATCACATTGTTATTTTTCTTTCCATCAGAATAGTTGAATGGCAAATAATACAGCCCCACAAAGCCAATGTCCATTGAAGCCAATGATCCATATTTTTTACGAAAGATTGAACTGAGTTCTCACTGATGCCAGAGATCTCCCAGAACTATTAAAAACTAAATATTCAGTTTAATCTTAGTTTTTACTCCTTTTTCCTCAAAAATGTTCAAAGGAAGACATAGAAAAAAATATCATTTGGAGTAAATGTTTGTAAAAGTTGGTTGTTAATTTGGGTATTTCTGAAATAAGAAATAAAAAAAAAAAAAAGGTTTGCCCTGGCCGGTTTGGTTCAGCGGTTAGAGCATCAGCCTGCGGTCCAGAGAGACCTGGGGTCGGTCCCCGCTAAGGGCACGTACGTACCTCGGTTGCAGTTTGTCCCCGACCCTGGTTGGGTAGTGCGGGTGGCAACCACTCGATGTGTCCCTTTCACGTCCATGTTTCTCTCTCTCTCTCTCTCTCTCTCTCTCTCTCTCTCTCTCTCTCTCTCTTTCCCACTCTATCTGAACTAAATTGGAAAAATGTCGTCGGGTGAGGATAAAAAAAAAAAAAAGGTTTAAAATACATTTCTCACTTTTAAATAGGACAAATATTATGATGATCAAGTATGCAAAGAGTATATAATATCTATCTTGACTCCTGCAGCTTAACTCAGTGAAGCTGCAATTAGCATGCTATTGTGAAGCCCTGAACGAGGTAAATCACCCACACAAGGGAAAGCTAATACCCTGTGCAATCTAAATTTCCTAGTTCTTCTTTATTAATTATTTTTATTTTTGTTTCTTTTCCTTTTATACATTTTTTTTTTTTTTGCATTACATATTCGGTGCTTATGCCAGTAAAAATGTACTACTGTGTAGATTGTGAATCCCACATTTTATAAAGTATAATAAAAAAGTGATCTATAACTTGAACCAGAAGTTTAGTAAGCTTTTCTTTCACATATGAAAAAAATATAAAATGATGCTTTTAGGAACTATAAGCCTAATACTCTGATATAGTAAGTGTTCTATATTTGCCTGTTGTTATGAAAATATATAAAGTATTAATTTATATCTACCTTAAATAATACATTCTAAGTAGCACAGATATGTCAAACCCATATATTATAAATGTTAAAATTAATATGATTAGTATATTTATATGATAAATGTTAATATTAATATTAGTAGTGCATACTACTTATTATTAATAATACAGTAGTAACATAAATGCCAAGGGCACTTGAGGTTTTTGTTTTCCTATCAAATAAAAATGCATAGCACATAGTAGGAAGTCAACTGTTTCTTAATAAATAGAAGTATTGAATGAATTAATTCTTTATATAAATTTTTATTTTTTTCAATTACAGTTTACTTTCAATATTATTTTGCATTGGTTTCAGGTGGACAGCATAGTGGTTAGACAATCATATGCTTTACAAAGTCCCCCGATGTTTCCAGTACCCACCTGACATACATAGTTATCAAGAGTTATTGACTACATTCCCTATGCTGTACTTTACATCCCCCTGCCTATTTTGTAACTACTGATGTGTGCTTCTTAATGCTTTCACTTCTTTCAATCAGCCTCCCAACTCCCGTCCCCTCTGGCAACCACCCTTAAAGTATGATATTAAACACATTTGTTTATAGATTCAGTAGAACATTGTATTTTGGATTCCATTCGCTGTTTTTTTATGAATTTGAACTAAAGTTATATTATCTGTCCGAGTCCCAGCAGGAAACAGATGGCACACTCATGTATGGCCATTGAGGCATTTTTTCAAAGGAATTCTGTACAGCAGTATAGTTACTCTTAACAGCAACTGACAAGAACGGTTGGTGCAGGACCATGGACTGGGAATAGCAGAAAGCCTTTTTTCCCAGGTCTATAGACAGAGGGAGTTAATGGTTCCTGGAACCCAGGCAGGATAAGGACATCCAAAGAGAAGTTGTGGCCTTCAGTATCGAGGCACAGTTAATGTGTGGCAAAGGGGGAGCTGGGGAAAGAACTCCCTGCTTGAACACACCCTGCTCCCACCTTCCAGAGTTCTTGTTGATACCTCCTGTCGGCCAAGCCCTACCAGAGCCAGAGAGCAAGGGCACCTGCCGATGCAGCCACGAAGCCCAGCCTCCTGGGGCATGAAGCAGGTGCAGGAGTAAACCTCAAACATCCAGCACAGCCCTGGCCGGTTTGGCTCAGTGGTTAGAGTGTCCGCCCGTGGACCAAAGAGTCCTGAGTTCAGTTCCCGCTAAGGGTAGGTACCTCAGTAGCATTTTGTCCCCGTTCCAGTTGTCACCGTGTGGGTGGCAACCACTCCATGTGTCTCTCTCACATCGATGTTTCTCTCTCTGTCTCCCTCCCACTCAATCTGAAATGAATTCAAAAATGTCCTCTGGTGAGGATAAAAAACTTCCAAAACAGTTAGGATCAAATGCATTTGGACTCCACATAATCAGGAAAAGTTCTGTTTATCCAATTAACAGTAAAAACTAGATATCTTCACAATAATCAACACTTAAAAAGAATTGATCACTTAAAGCACCTCTTCTTGGGAGAGTATGATTCAGAAATAAAATTACAACTATAAATCACTCTTTAAGAATATAATAATTGTTTCAGGAAGCTTAACAACACATTTATTGTGTAGTTATTGTTGTCATAAATGCAAAAAATAAATTAAACTGATTTTTATATGCTCCACACTCATAAATTCATATTATCTAATTAGTGTAGAGTCATATCTCCTTCAATTTATCTGAATTAGTGAAGTTTTAATACATATCAAAAGTATATAAAAAGAACCCAAGATATTCCTTTTAAAACATAAAATTTACCAAAAAGCAATAAAGTGTAATGGCTTAAGAATAATATGAATGATTACCGTGTGCGCGGCGCCGGCCACTCCCGCCTGGCCGTTGACTACCGGGCCTCTGGTCCTTGGGTCCGCTTCGGAGCTCCGTGAGGGTGGCAGCAGGTCATACCTTGGCCTCCACGTGCCACAGTGGCCCTCAGAAGGAATGGCAGTTGTGGGCAGCATGCTTGGCCTGCTGTGGCAGCATGTGGTGATGGGGGCTGCCCCCGTGGGCCGCTGCCTGCACATGTCTTTCCATCGGGCTGACAGCAGCAGGGCCTCGCTCACTCGTGTGCACAGACAGGCCTATGCACGCCTCTATCCCATGCTCTTGGTCAAGCACAATGGCTCCACCATTCACATCCGATATCAGGAGCCCAGAAGGATGCTAGAGATGCCTGTGGACCTGGATGCCCTATCCCAGGATGAGAGGCGGGCACGGATCCACAGACGTGAGGCCCAGCTCCGAGGGAAGGAGGAGGAGCCAGAGCTCCTTGACAACTTTGACCTGGAGCGGTACAAGCAGTTTTGGATCAGAAGTAACCATGGCCACAAGCTGCCCTGCCTCAGGATACTGTAGAAGGGGAGGGGCATTCATCTTTAAATTGAGTGTCAGGATTTAAAAAAAAAAAAAAAAAAAGAATAGTATGAATAAAGTCAAAGTTCTTCAAAATTTCTCATCTACTTCACAATGCTTTACCTGAGTTTTTGCTATTACTCCTCAGCTTGAACTCTTAGTTACAAAAAAAAAAAAAAACTTTCTTTTAGCTTTTATTTTTCCCCTGCTACCTTCTCGCTACACCACACACCTGTTAAGTCACCTGCCTAGATTGATATTCCTGGAACTTTCCTCTCTGAAGAAACTCAACACCAAAAATCAAAAATCCAATTTAAAAATAGGCAAAGAGACACTTCTCCTAAACAGACACTTCTCCAAAGAGGAAATACAGATGGCCAACATACAATTGAAAAATGCTCAATGTCACTAATCATTAGAGAAATGCAAAGTAAAACCAAAAGGAAATATCACCTCACACCTGTCAGAATGGCTATCAACAATAAATCAACAAACAAGTGCAGGTGAGGATGTACACTGTGGGTGGGAATGCAGATTGGTGCAGTCACTGTGGAAAGCAGTATGGAGTTACCTCAAAAAATTAAAAATGGAACAACCTTATAACCCAGTTATTTCACTTTTGGGAATATATCCAAAATAACCCAAAACTCTAATTTGAAAGAATATGTGCACCCCTATTTTCACTGTAGTACTATTTACAATAGCCAAGATCTGGAAGCATCCCAAGTTCTTATCAGTAGATAAGTGGATAAAAAAAAAAAAGGTGTGGTACATTTACACAATGGAATACTGGGAAGTTGTAAAAAAGAAGGAAATCTTAACTTTTGTGACAGCATGGATAGATCTGGAGAGTATTATGTTTATTGAAATAAGCCAGCCAAAGCCCTGGCCAGGTAGCTCAGTTGGTTAAAGCACTGTTCTGATATGCCATGGTTGCAGGTTCGATCTCCAGTCATGGCACATACAAGAATCAACCAATGCATGTATCTATAAGTGGAACAACAAATCTCTCTCTATCTCTCTCCCCCCCCTCTCTCCCTCCCTCTCTCTCTCTCTCCTTCCCTCTCTCTCTCTCCCCCCCCCTCTCTCTCACTCAAATCAATAAATAAAAATTTTAAAATCTGAAAAATATATGAACTACTCATTCAACTCAATGAAAGAAACACAAACAATCCAATTAAAAACTGAGCAGAGGACCTGAATAAACACTTCTCCAGAGGGGACATACAAACGACCAGGAGACATATGAAAAAATGCTTAACATCACTGAGCATCAGAGAGATGCAAATTAAAATGACTATAAGGTATCACCTCACACCTGCCAGAATGGCTGCCATTAACAAATCATCAAACAACAAGTGCTGGTGAGAGTGTGGAGAAAAGGGGACTCTAGTACACTGCTGGTGGGAATGCAGACTGGTACAGCCACCAAAGAAAACAATATGATGTTTCTCAAAAAAATTAAAAATGCAACTACTATTTGACCCAGTGATCCTGCTTCTAGGACTACATCCTAAGAATTTTGAAACACAAATCAGAAAGAATATACATACCCCTATGTTCATAGCAGCACTACTTACAATAGCTAAGATCTGGAAACAGCCCAAGTGTCCATCAGTAGAGGAGTGGATAAAAAAACTGTGGTACATATACACAGTGGAATACTATGCAGCTGTAAGAAAGATATCTTACCCTTTGAGACAGCATGGAGGGACTTGGAGAGTATTAGGCTAAGCTAAATAAGCTAGTCAGAGAAAGACAAGTATCATATGATCTCACTTATTTGTGGAATATAATGAACAAAATAAGCTGACGAACAAAATAGATCCAGAAACACAGAATAAGGGAACAGACTGACAAACCTCAGAGGGAAAGGAGGCAGGAAAGTGGGAAGTGATAAACCAAAGAACTTAAATGCATATATGCATAACAATGGACACAGACAACAGTGTGGTGAATGTGGTGGGAGGGGGACAAGGGTTGGGAGTGGAAAGGAGGGTGTCAATGGGGGAAAAAAGTAGAAATACCTGTAATACCTTCAACAATAAAGATATTTTTAAAAATAAAAATAAGCCAGTCAGAGTAAATCAAGTACCATATGATTTCCCTTATATGTGGAATCTAATGAACAAAATAAAATAACAAACAAAATAGAAACAGACTACAGGCACAAAGAACAGACTGATAGCTATTAGAGGGAAGAGGGATTGTGGAGCTGGGTGAAGGGATTAAGCAAAAGAGAAATCTCATAGACACAGAACAGTATAGTGATTACCAGAGGAAAAGGAGAGGGGGGAGGTAAAGAGAATAAAGGGGGGATAAAAGATGATGGAAGGGGACTTGACCTTGGGCAGTGAACATACAATACACCCCACCCCTTTCTCTGCTGTAGATTGTTATATTTATCTTTTCCCATCATTTCTTTATTGAAAATTTCAAAAACCTTTCTTTAAACAAAATGTTTAATATGTTGGGATATGCTGTACATTATCTCTCGCTCAGATATTTACTATGCATTTCACTTAGTGGAGACTCTGATCTGTAGTAAAGGAATCTAAGTTAGATAAATCTAGTCTTTTCAAAACTAATTTGAAGTTGGGATTGTTTTATTTTTTTTTCCAGAATACCCATAAACATTTCTTAATATGTTCGTGTTTCACAGGACACATTCAGGAAACATTACGATGTTAAGCATTTCAAGATTTGAATAATATTTTATCAGATTGGAAATATGTTCCAATCTAATAACAGTTATCAAAGCAGGCACCTACATCTTTCTTCTAATTAAATATTTTAGTAACTTCCCTTTTTATATGCATATTACTTATAATTTTTCTATATCAAATTAAAGAATAAAAGATAACAATGACTCTTTACTTTTCTTCAAGAATACTTTTTTAAAGACAAAGTCAGAACTCTCACTCAAATATAAATAACACATATTCAAGATCCTTTTTAACTCATTACTTAATGAGTGTCCGATAGCCTGGGAACTGGCGCTAGGCAAACTGCTCGACCATTGTCTCGCTTGCTCAGCCTTGCCTCCCACCCTCTTCTGGGAACAGCCTGCCCCGAGCTCCCATCCTGCTCTTATCCACTCACATTCCAGAGGCTCCATGCATAGCCCCCGCAAGGTCAAACCCAACAGACAAATCTCAGCTGCAACGGGCAGATATAAAAAAGCACAAACCCCAGCATCGGGCGCGGCTTCTAGGACTCGACCCCCGGAGTCTGTGAACCAGCCCGAGTGTACCCAATAAAGCCTGATCCCTGTTTATTCGGCTGATTGGCTCTCCAGTCTCTGTTTTTCGGCGGCGCCCCCGATTCCTTACAATGAGGACTCCCATAAAATGTTCCATCCAGTTCAAAGAACGGTTCAAAGGATGCATACAGGAAGACAATCACAAACGCTGAAATGAATTTACTGGTAGATTACATCTCCAGCGGGCATAATCCTTGTCATTTCTATGAACAAGAATCATTCTGTATTACTAAAACTGCAATTTTCACAGCTATGTAATAACTCAAAGACAGTAAAAAGTGGACTTAAACTAGAGCTAACCTAAGAGGATACACAGATATAACTTTTTTTTGCCCGTTTCTAAGTTTTTCACAATTCTCTGGGCATTTTTTTAATGCTAACCAATCCTACTTAATTTAACCACTGTTAATAAGTGCTTTTCTTTGTGGGCATTACCCTTTCTAAGACTTACATACTTTCTGCTCTCAGATTACTACTATCTTATGGGTTACTCTATACCTAACATTATGCTAAATGCTTATATGCATTATTTCATTTAAACCTCACAAATATGATAATATTTTATTACCAGAGAATGATAGTAAGACTTCAAGTAACTAAGTTTTCAAGGTCACACAGAAAATAGAAGAAAACAAGGCCTCAATGATGACTCCAAGTTCACCTTCCTAACCAACTACCAACCTGAACATACTGCTTAACCTTTGTCCTTCAAATAGTAAAACAAACTCAATTTAGGTTTAGCATGCACACCAGAATCATTGAGATAAAATCTCTCAGCAAGAACCTGGTCACCTATCCATTTCCAGATAAAACCTCTCTTGAGGCCAATATTTATATGATCAACTACCTCCTTAAAATTTCACTTGTATTTCTGATGAACATCTCAAAATTAACTTTCCTATCCCCATATCCCATGCATCAGTAAATTTCAACATTTCTTCCGATGTATATTCCAACCTTGTCTGCTCATCTCCAACGTTGTTGCTGCCTCCTTGGTTCATTCAATCATCATTTCTTACCTAACCTGCTTTAATAACGTCTCTTCATCAACAGTTGTACCATACCTGGGTGATGGAAAAAAAATGGACCAAAACAAATTATTTTCATTGATTTCAACTGTCTTTGGCTATTTGTTCATACTGTCAAGGAACCAGTTAAAAATGAATAATGAAAATTTTAGTCAAATGATTATTCTGTTGGATATATACAAATCCAAATAATGGCATTTCCCATTGAATAGCATGATTGTTTCTTCAAAGAGCTTGAGTCATCTAGTTATCATCTGGAATGTGAGTCTCCTGAATTTAGGAACAATGTGGTAGCCTAGTGTCTTTTTATCCCTAACTCCAAGTTCAGTGCAGAGCATATAAAATGAATAGTCATTACTGGCACTGAATAAATGAAATGTCATATTCAATGCAGGTCCAACTGATAATTTGTTTTGCCACATGGTATATCTAATCAGTTGTAAAATGTATAAATCAGTCACTAGTGCCAATGAAAAAGAAAACCCAGGAGCTGATTTAGTTGTTTCTTAAGCAGTCACAGGTGTTAAGACCTAAATGGTAGATAATTTTAGATCATTACAAACATTAATTCACTACAACCAAGAATTGCCAGATCTAATTTCTAACCCCCATAATAGGATATTTAAGTCTAGTATTTTTATTACATGATGTATAAACTTAATGGAGAAAGGGAATTGACACCGTTTTGGTGATAGACTGCCTGCTTAAAAATC